CTCACCGAAAATCAGTTTTGAGAAAATAAATATACCACGAGTATCTACTCGGAACGTAAAATTTTTCTACAATATTTAATTCAACTCAAATTAAATATTTAGCCATCAAAATTTCAGTCAAAACCGGGTCAAACCCAAGTTTTATAACTGATTTTTCCAACAAGATACTGATGTAGCGCAGCTTCGAACGAAAGGAAAAAGAGATAAAACCTCAAGAAGATATTCTTCTATTTCATCAATTATGTTCGTTCAAGTCACAACCAAAAGAATATATAGACTCTCAATCCTACTAAATTCCTAACTTGCTAAACAAGTCATTATTCCAAAAGATAATTATTCTCCTAACAAGATAACAAGATAACTAAGGAAAGATAATAACAATAATTATGCAAGTAAATAATTAAGTTAGAGCTGGGATTCGGTCATATTTTTTCAAGAAAGCTATTGCGAGCTCGTCTCCATCATCCTCTCCCGGTTGAAAAGGATTCGCCCTCGAATCCGATGCGAGCTCGTCTCCGTCCAAGTTGTCACCTAAATATGGCACCAAATGCGTGACGTCGAACACATCAGACGTGCGAAAGTACGACGGTAGGCCAAGACGGTACGCACGAGGGTTAATCTTCTCCACAATTGTGACCTGGCCAATTTTACGAACCGACGACTTGGTATACGAGGTAGCCGAAAAGTTGTCTGCTAGCAAGACCGCCCACACATAATCACCGACTTCAAATCCATTATCGTTGATGCGTGTGCGTAAAACGGGATTAATTACTCCCGAATCCACTCGCAATTTCCCCATGTCAGAACCATTATTGCCAAAACCAACAAGATCAACTACAGAACTTCTCCCACTACTAGGACCAGCAACATAATGATTATCCTGCATGTTGTCAACATTTAGATTCCTATGAAAAGAACCAGCAGCAAACTCATTTGAAGAAGCACACCCACTATGCCCAACAGTGCATAACCTATAAACTGCAGGGTCAACTCGTTTCTGCTGCCCACTATTTTGTTTCACAATATTCCTCCTCCCACCACCAGGACCATCAGAATACAAATTGTTCGACTTGTGCTCACCCGACATCCGTCCCCCAGCCAATCCACCATTGCCATCACACCTGTAGGCATCCTCCCCATGCATAGAAACCTCGAGATCCCTCAAAAGACGAACCAGTTGTTCGAGAGCACCCGCATGTTCCACGACCTTGGCTGTCTCGGCACATGGCTCCGGCGCACAGAAAGGGTCCTCCGACAAGACCCGAGGGGAGAGATACTAACGGCGGAGAACCAAAGCACGACCCACATCCCCGAATAAGTGTTCTTCAGGCGGTTCGGGCTCTTTGTCAAAAATCGGAGGGCCATCATACAAGTCTCCCTCGTGAACCTCTCCATCCGTCCCGGCCATAAGGGCACGCGAACCGCCCCGCCGTGGACACGCCGATTGCCGATGGCCCGCCTCACCAAAAGCAAAACATTTCAGCCCTCCGCCCGGCCGGTTCCCAGCCGCCACAGTCGGTGCAACGTAGCCATCCGCCGCGGAAGATGAGCCCGCTGTTGTCGGATTTCCAAGGCCCCCTACAGCTCCTGGTGAACTCTCCATGGCTGGAAAAACACCCTGTGATGGTGTACCATTGCGACCGAACTGGAGTCCTTCAACCGCCGCGGACCGTGATGAACCAGCCGCAGAGGGCGCCGACAGAGCCAAATGCGGGTGAAAATCGATCGCTGGCACTGTGTTCACAAAATATTTTTACTACCCGCAAGTGTACGGAGTAGCTGCAGAAAGCGGCGAGCAAGGTCGTATTCCACAGAGACTGTTGTCAAACTAATTAAGTACCAAAATATAGACGATTAAATATTATCTAGACTAATGCAAATTCGATTGGAGTTTTTATTCTAAACTAATGAATGAATGCAAAAATAAATTCTAACACTAATAAAGGCTTATTCTAAATAAATCAAGTATGAGAAAATAGATTCTAGGCTATGCTTTCCTCGGGATTATTCTAGCCAAGTTTTCTTATTCATTCAAACCTTATTTAATTCTACCAATCGTAGGGATAATCGCTAAAGTGATTTCAACCTTTCTCTCGAACAAGCAAATCGTAGATATTAATTGCTATCTATCTCCTCTCGGTCTCAAGATGAACAACTAACTCCCATAAGCTCCTAAGATTCTAGTTCCCTCGCAAGATCCTATCAACCTCTCGGTCTGTTTAGTCTCTTACGTTATGAATTTCCCAATTCTAGCAATCAATTATCTTTTCTCGGTCTCAAATCAATTACAAGTATGCATTCATAGCGGCCGTCTACTCACACAATAATAATAAGCACAAAAAATTGATAAATTACTTCATAAAATAATCCGAGTACTCGCAAATCCTAGAATCTCAAAGAAATTTAGCTACTAAACATATTTTCAATACTCAAAATAAATAAATCCATGAGTTCAATGAAGAAGAAAAAGAGAAAAGAAAGAAGAACTATTGTTTCCGTTAGTTCCCGGATCTTCAATCTTGACTTCCTCGAATCCCTCGTGTGTTTCGTGCTTTCCCTAGGCCTCCAATGGTGTCCAAAAGTCTCAAAATCGTGTTCCCTATGTTCCTTATATACTGTAGGGTAAATATGGCTTGAAAAAGGGACAAAAACGCGTAGGAATCCTATTTTCTGCTGGTCTCTCTGCGCGTCACACGACCCGTGTCACATGCCACACGAGTCGTGTGACTTTCCTCGAACTTTTGGCCAACTTTCAGACTCACACGACTGGTCACACGACTGGGTCACACGACCAGTGTGAGTTCACACGACCAGTGTCACTTGACACACAGGTCGTGTGACAAAGCCGAAGAAAAATTCCACAAGAGCTCGATTTTTCTCACCCCACACGACTCGTGTCACATACCACACGAGTCGTGTGACCCTGACTGCACCATATTTTTGCCGTTTTTCGTCCCGATTCCATCTTTAACGCTTTTTCGGGCATATTTCCTGCAAAACCAACGACAACTATACCTCTATCATAGATTAATAAATCAAACGAAATGGTGCACAATCCCACAATAAACACGGTCAAACATCACACTATATCACTCATAATGCATGAAAATATGATGAACATCACACTGGTCGACCGCGTTGTTGCTGCTCGATGAGTAATGCCCGATGGTGAGCGTCTGCAACACTGTCTGGTGCGAACATATTCAGCATGTCGCGAATGCCGAGCCTCAATCCACCAACATAACGCGACACCAACTGAGCCTGAGTGTCCCGTATTTTAACTCGATTGAGAAGACGATAAAAATCACGGGTATACTCGTCGACGGACCGAACACCCTGACGTAAATTGTGAAGTTGCTAATACATAGTACTCACATAATTGAAGGGAAGGAATTCACGCTCAATGTGTTTCTGGAATTTGGCCCATGACACGATCTTAGGCTTACCCATCTGCCGGCGGGACTCCGTGATGTGTAGCCACCATGCAATGGCACTCCCGCGCAGGCGTGTGGCGACGAGTCCCACACGATGATTGTCCGGGACCTCCTTGTAATCCAACACCGCCTCGACCAAGCCTAGCCAGTCGAGAAAATCAGCCCCCTCGAGGCCACCAGTAAATTCTGGAATATCCACGCGAAAGGCGGACTCCCAACGCCGCTCACCGGCCGCCGCCTCCTCGTTCCGCTGCTCCTCCTCGGCGAACGGATTGTACTCCACCTCCGTGGCATCAGAGTCCTCGCCGTCGTCATCCCCACACGGCCCTCTCTGCCTGCCACCACCACGCTGATGACCGCGACCCCCGCGGCCCCCACGAAACCCCCCGCGACCGCCGGTTCTTCCATCGAGCCCGTCGCGGTTTACGCCGTCGCGATTCACCACTTGCTGGAGAACCATCCTGATGTCCGCCATGCCCTCGGTGAGGTCTGCAATCTGCCGGCCAAAACCCTCGTTCTGGCGCATAAGGGAAGCAATTGCCGCATCCCTTCTGTCATCGGCCTGATCGGTTCTCTTCGGTGGCATCGAGGATCGTAGCTGATTCTGATTACCAACTGATGTAGCGCAGCTTCGAACGAAAGGGAAAAGAGATAAAACCTCAAGAAGATATTTTTCTATTTCATCAATTCTGTTTGTTCAAGTCACAACCAAGAGAATAAATAGACCCACAAGTCATTATTCTAAAAGATAATTATTCTCCTAACAAGATAACAAGATAACTAAGGAAAGATAATAACAATAATTATGCAAGTAAATAATTAAGTTAGAGCTGGGATTCGGTCATATTTTTCCAAGAAAGCTATTGCGAGCTCGTCTCCATCAGATACCTTGCAACTTAAATTGGCTATATATGGCCATTTTACCAGTTTATAATTAAGCCCTCAATCAGTCAAGAAACAATATTGGACAAAGTACCCTATACATATATATATATATATATATATACTATATATTCAAGAATTTAACAGCTAGTTTCAACCAAATTCTCGTTTTTTATCAGTCCTCATCGCCCGAGAGATCTCCCCATCGGACATTATGTTTAGCAGCGAGATAGTGGGCCCCAACAGGTCCTCTACTCCCGTACGGATATAACTCGGGTGCAATTTTTCTTTCTTCCAATTCCTTAAGCAATGGCGTGAATAAGGCCCACGCAGCATCGAGTTCGTCACTTCTGATGAATAATCTCCGTTCTCCTTCAATCGCGTCTAGAACAAGTCTTTCATAGGCATCCGGTATTTCCCTTGGGTACCTTTTTGTTCACAACATATAGAGTAAGTATCCCAATAATATATATCACATTAAAGTTTCTTAAGATCAATTATCATAAATCTCAGTAAGCAAATATAATATATATATATATATATATATTTATCCATTGGAGTAAAGTGAGCTTAATTAGAGAGGTTTAACTGATCGATAAAAAATGTAATTATGAAGAAAACTATCCGGCCCTAGTATTTTGCTTACTTGCAATAGTAGACAAAAAACTGGCCCAGTTAAATTTGAAAATTTAAGACTTAACATCCCCCATCGACATATATTTTTATAAAGTGTACCCTCAAAGTCTAGCAGGGTTCAAGTGATAGCTATAGGTTCCCTAAATATAATCAGCCATTAATGGAAAAAACAAAAAATCGATAAATTTGAAATCAGGTAGCATGTAAACTGAATTTTCAAAGTCTATCCAATCTTGAACCATTTTACCTGGCTTTGTAAAGCAAGTTAAGGTCACTTCGGTCGAGTCTCATTCCAAGACCAGGAACCTTGTTGTTAATTTTTAAATATACAGCTTCATCTGGCTGTACACGAAGAACTAGTTCATTTGTGGCCTTGTCCAAATCCGTCCCGAAGTTTCGCTTGTACAGATTACCCGGAACATGTCTGAACTGAACTCTAATTTCAGCCCTGAGTTTTTACACAAAAACGGTCATCGAATGAAAGAATAACGAGAAATTTTCTTATGGAGTGGTTGCAAAGGCTTAAATGAAGTTATTGCTAGCTTTTTGCATAGCAGAATATTAAATTAGAAATATTCTTTAGATATTCTAATAGTCCATAAGGCATATGCATGAGTCGATCTACAGTAAGAAGGAATACATGGGAACAAAAAAACTGGAATAATAATGCAAAGTTATTTATGAAAATGTTGAAAAAGATATTCAATGAAAAATTAGACAATAATTGTCTACTGTCATAATTACTCGGAGATATTTCAATGATCAAATTTCAGGTTTGAGAGAAACACAGAGAAAATTCCTTTATTAGAATCGAATGACAAAATGGAGATAAGTAAAACAATGATCAAACAAAAAGTCAACTACCATCCTCTTTTTACTTCAGTAAATCACTTCATAACAAAAAAAGTTGGTGAAGGTGCGAAATAATAAGTTACCGTTTGGTGTGCAGAGCTTTTCCGGCTTTCATGAGAAAAGGGACCCCATCCCAACGGGCATTATTAATAAAAAGGGCTGCAGCTGCAAATGTTGGAGTTATACTGTTGCTAGGCACCGTTGGATCATCTGTGTAGCCTAAGTACGATTTTCCAACCTTCCTGTGGCCCTTATACTGGCCTACTATCACATCTTCAAGCTTCAGTGGCCTCATTGACCGCAAGACTTTGACCTGATTCGAGTTTTTATAACAGTTCAATGCCGTATAATGGTGATATGCAAATTTTTAATAGATCTAAGAAGGCCTTCAAACAGAATCTGAAGAGTAAACTAAACTGTTTGAATCTGAAGAGTAAACTAAACTGTTGGGCTTATGTTCGCTTTGCTCGGTGATTATTTTTTCTGCACTTTAGTCCTTGTACCTCGTTTTATCTAATTTTTCCTGTGAATCAAAAGAAAGAGTTACTTCATTCTAGATAAAATATACCTTCTCATTCCTAATATCTTCAGCATCCAAGCTGACAGGGGTCTCCATTGCAAATAACGCCAATATTTGCAGCAGATGATTTTGCATAATATCTCGAATGATCCCATAATGGTCAAAGTACCTAGCAAGAAATAGAACAGAAAAGTAGAGAAAAATATTCAAGACCCCGAAGAGACTTTCGATAAAAATATAAGGATGGGCTTATGAGCTCGCTCACCCTCCTCGTCCTTCTGTACCGAAATCTTCAGAAAATATAAACTGCACATTACGAATGTAATTCCTCGACCAAAGAGGCTCGAACACGAGATTTGAAAAACGAAGAACCGAAAGATTCTCGACCAACTCTTTCCCCAAATAATGATCAATTCTGCAACAAACATAAAATCGATCAACTTCTCTTTCTTATTCAAATTTGTCTCTCTTTGTTTTCTTTTTTTGGTCCTAAAAACAAGACAGACGCTGAGAGTATCATTTACCGGAATATTTGGTCCTCATTCAGATACTGCTTTAGACACCTAGTGAGCTCGCTAGATGATTCAGAGTCTCGGCCAAATGGTTTCTCGACAATGACCCTCGTCCACCCATTTTCTGAAGAAGCTTTTGAGCTGGCACATCTCACAACATCCACGAAAATATTCGGAGGTATGGATAAATAAAATAACCTATTTGATCGTCTACCACCCTGAAAAAAAGGATAATCTTAAAAATGGGTTTCCAATGCTTTGATTTTTATTATTATTATTGTTGTCATTATCTAAAGGGTCTATCAATCTGAGGTATGGTTACTACCTCTTTTTCTTTCAGCTTGCTGTTTAATTCCGAAAAATGCTGCTCGGAATCATATTGACCCGAATGATAAAAGCATCTCTTTAGAAACTGTGTCATTTTTTCATCACAGTTTTCCCTGGAAAACCACCATTTAAAACAGTTAAGACCGCAAAATGCCACACCTTTGGATTGATTTACTTTGAAGTAAAAAAGTTTAGAAATGATGGGTTACCTTTGATCAATTCTGCAAGTTAAAGTTCTACTGATCATGTTACGTAACTCCTCATCATTCATTTTTGTCCGAGAATAACCAAAAACCACAAAGTTCTGCAAAAATATATGGTATAAAGAGAATTCAGCAGCATTGTTTAAATTGAAAATATGAAAATCTTAGGACTAATAGCAATCACTGATAAAAGCTATTGACAACTTTTCCGCCCAATTGTACAAGCTTTAATCGGAATCTAAAAACTTAAGGTGCTTCAGGATCCTTATAATCTCTGCTTGTTTCACTTTTAAGAATTAATAAACATTTTCAAAATATATCCATCCCTAACTTCTATATGCACACAGTGAGTCACTTAAACTAGAAACATTGATGGAAACAAAGGCAAACCTCAGGCAGCCAATCTTCATAGTAAAGAGCAAAAAGGGCAGGAAATATCTTCTTCTTTGCAAGATCACCCGAAGCACCAACAACAGTAATACTAAGGGTTGAATCCTCATGTCCCAATTCAGACAAGTGAGTTTCATCTGCCTGAGGATTTGCAGCTGAACCTTCTGCATTTTCACCAACAGAAAGAAATACAGTTTGAATCCGATCAGATATGAGATATATCAGAAATTTTGTAGCCCCTAAAATAAATTCAGAGTTGCCAATAGTTTGAAAAAAAAAAAAAATCAGATAATCCATTTAGCAAAAAGACAAAGAAAAAGAAATCTAAACTGTTAGCAAATCATAGTACTGAGTGTTCATGCCTTGTTTGAGTTAGGTCTTAGACTCATTTTGATTCTTTAGATTTTATCAGAAACGATAAATTGGAATATCTAGCACATAATGTTGCATGCATCGCTAACTTGGAAAAAAAAAAAAAAAGGAAACTTTTCCAACGAATTCAAACTAAAAACGAATGATCCTCATTCATACGAAAACTCCAACTTACAAAGTTCACATTTTTATCAATACATCCAAAGAAACACTAAAATCCATTAAACCTAGATCATCTTTTTTCAAAGGACAGGAAAAATGATCAAACAGCAACACAATTCAAATTCATTAATATGAACAAAGAACTGACAGCAAACGAAAAGAAGAGAAATTTAACATACCATCTTGCAAGGATACAGCATTAAGAGGGTGTCCATTCGAGGATCTCAGCTCAAACTGACTTCTCATTTGAGTGCTCACAAAAATCTTGGGAGCCCACTTTGAGAAATCATGTGAGCTTGTTAAAATTGCTAGCTTTTTCGAGCAACACAAACGCTCATTATGAAAATAGCTAAATGGGGTTGAAGATGAATGAGAAGGAGGAGTACTCAAACACTTAGCCATGCACTAGGAGACTCAGAAGTTGCCTACTGTGCGAATTTCTTGATCTTTTTTTTTTTTTTTTTTCAGATGGAAATTGGACAATTTTCACAGTTTATCCAAGAAGATGATCAGAAAGGACCACCTGAGATATTCATTGGATATAAACTCCAACTTTAGATTGTAAACATAATTTTGCCAGTGGACTGACTATTTTAGGTGCCACTAAAGTGTGAGCCCTCAAAATGCCTCATCCTTTATATGAGGTCAAGATTTGTTCTCCTTTATATCTATCTATCTAATCTTGAACAGAGAGCGATGTTGGGCTTTGGGTCACCTACATTTGCTATTAAAATCTGTAGCCTACAGAACCACGAACATTAGCATCATCGGTCTGTTTGAAATGAGGACTCCAACCTTTATGTTAATTAAATTTGAGTAATGTTATATGTACATAATAGTGTACATAGAGGTGTGCATAACACTCACATTAAATTTACAAGCCAATAAATAACCTTTAACTTAGCCAAATCATGCTTAAGGTTTTAGTAAATTCCATGAAAGCCTATATTTCGCAATTATAACAGACCGTATACGAGTTCTCATTTATCAAATAATCTATATTTTTCAATTCTTACCAAATGAGATGAGCTTAACTTATTTATCAAATAATCTATATTTTTTCAATTCTTACCAAATGAGTTGAGCTGCACTCGAGCACTAATGAACCTCATTTACCAACTCCAGTACAGAACAAACAGAATCCTACTCCTTGTTTTAATTTAACTGGTATGGGACATAGCATGTAGCCGTGTATTTTGTTTTGACTTGCTGTTTTGCTACAAGCTTGAGTGCTATATTACTACTACTAAACAATAAATTGGTTATGAAAAAGAACAATAAAATCACCCATTGGGGCAAGAGCAAAAACCATACCAGGCAATCATAAATTTTACCAAGCCAAGTTTCACACCTTATATCAAGCAACATTAGCCTTTCCTTGTCTACCATATATTCAAATGTACTTTTCATGACAACCTAGGACCACAACTGAACCAGATTTATGAATAGACAAGCAGAAAAAACTCAAAACCCTGCAAAATATATATGTAGAATGCCATCTACTTGGGAGGCATACGATGTAGAAACCACCAAAACCTTTTTCGACCCGCAAGAGGGCTCGCATAGCAATGAAGCATGAGCCAAGATAACATTGAAAACCCTCAAAAACATAACTCTACAGTAAAGCACTAACATTAGCATCATCGGAAAATATAAAATTAACACCACAAACTCTGCAGAAAATTTCATCACATTTCAAATACTAAAAAAGTCGATGACCGCGCCCATATAACTGCAAACCACTACGCGGCCACCACAAACACAAAGCTCAACACAACAAAATAAAAAAAAA